GGGGGGGGATAAGTAGATGAAAAATATATTTTTTTAATGAACCATGAAATGGCAATGAAAAATCACACTTCAGAATCTAATATGATGGCGACAAACAATATAAATTGCACTTATTCTGATAGCGGAAAGCTAGAGGTATTTTAAAATGCCAACTATTTAGAAAAGAACACATTAAAATATCAAATAATATTTCAACCCCACACAAAACCAAAGGAATGGCTACTAAAAAAGAACCTGAAAAAATGGAAATGTGTTCACTCAAATTTGTTCACTCAAAAGCTTCTGTACATTTGAATAACTTTACATTCATTATAAGAAACGTAGCTCTTGGTTGGGAAATAGGCTACAGGCTTTCTATGTATACTGTCTATACATTATATATATTGCCCCTGCTCTGTACATTTATAACTTCACAAAATCAAACTTAACCTCACAGCCTTTTCTTTTTTGCCGAAGTATCAAGTGGACGTTACCTATTAGGGCACCTGACCCTTTGGCCGACATGGCAGTAAATCAGAGCAGATTTTCAGTACAAAGTAGGCGTTTATACGCCCCCCTCCATACAATTCAGATCATTTAGGAGGCGGGCTTCCGACCCTGCCTGTCTGGGCCAATCCGGACTGAGATTGATTCATCAACCAAGCAAAAAGACAGAGATCTCGATAAAAATTTATCCTCACTCGAGAATCAAATTAAGGTCTCCAGAATGCAACAGCAGAACGCTTAACTGTTACGCAACATTAATGCCGATCATAGCAGACAGAAACAGCTAGGTAGTTCCTTGCTCAGTTTTGCAAGAATATCCTGGTTTCAGTTCCCTATTTGGTATCTTTTATAACCACTGGTTGCTGGAGGAGTTTTCATTCACACAGTTCCTCTTTTTTTTGTTCTGTTGGAGATGGGCGCTTTTTAGGTAACAAAACCTTTTAAAAAGTAGAGATACAAATTCTACCGTACTCGTTCGGTGCATTGATACACGTTTAGGGGAAAAATGTTTATTAGTGCTGCCTCTCATGTTTGCAGAGCATTCGCTTATCCTCAACCAAAGCAAACACATTTAAATATAAAACGCTCTATTTTCTTTTCGTGCACACCCCTGAGTATGCCATGCACACACAGACGAACACGCTTAACGCACACAACAGTGGAGTGTGGAATGCGCTCCGAAACAATTCTATCATCCAATCTTCAGAATGACTGAAATGTCGTGCACAAACTTCGTGCTCTGTGACTCATGGTGGTATAATATTATTAAGGAATTTCTAGAAACATTTCTATCTCAAAGGCGAAGAATAAACGTTTATTGCCTCGAACTGATCTCAACGCTGTCGTGATCTCGAGTGATCTTATGTTCAGAATGTATCGTAATCATAAAATTTGCCTCCAGTCATATATTTCTTTATTTAAAAAGCTAAATTAATATAAAATATATCGAGTATTATTTTTATAATGTCGGGTAAAATATGTTGCCATCTTCAGCTGCAGGTCAGATCTTAACATATTGTACGGCTCATATATAGGTAAACAAACCCAATGTCAAAACTTGATAAAATAATGTACATGAGCATTCATCAATTATATAATAATGAAAATGATATTATAGAAATCAACATCCACTCTACAATGGTCCAAATTGAAGCAAATAATATAGTCATATAATACAATATGGAAAGACTCGTTGCAACCCACACGTACAGTAAGGGCCATCTTTTTGTTACTTCATGTAGAATAGTGGGCAGTTCATACGGCCTGTAACGTTTCCATAGCAACAGCTTAATATTATACTATAGAAAACGGGGACGTCACTTTCTTAGCGTTGTTTTCTTCCCTTTAAAAAACAAGACAAAAAATATTTTTTTTAAAGACCCCAGGTTTTGTTTCACTCTAGACTTCATTGGGTTTATCTCATACATTATTTGCCTTCAGTATTTGCAACACATCAAATTATAATTATAATAATATACAATTCACGTAATGGAAATTATGGAAGCTCTGAAGGGACCTTCTCAGCGACAAGTCCACATTTTCTATCCATGAGCACAGCCAGGCGATTATTGCCGTCGACATTTGTAAATAATGAACGCACTTGAAACAGAAGACTTCGAAGGCAAAGGGATTATTGAGTAAAATATAAAATATAAGACTAGGAGCATATTTCACTTTGAATGAAGTTAAGTCTCTCTAGCATGAGCACAGCCAAATTATAGTTTTACCTCCAGCGCTATCGAACAGCGTAAAAGCTTAACAACTGAATATCATGTTTGTTTAAAAAGTATATCGGATTAAATATAAACACAAGAATACAGGGTAGTAACCAAAAATAATAAACAGAACAGGTAAATCGGTGTCAAACTTCTAAATAATCGTAACCATGCGGAAAGATTTTTGAAACACAAAGACTTTTGTAGCAGCAGGATGCTGGACACACTCATAGAAACCGGATTCTTGGAACAGAGTAAAACTATCTCTTGCGAAAGTTGTGTTCCGAAACGTTTAGGTTGAGTCTTCCGACCTGCAAAGAAATAATTAACACAGATAAAGAGATTTTCATTTAAAAAACCCACTTTATGCAGATATCATAAAGAAAAGCAAAAAGATAAATAAATCATAACACTATAGGTGAGTCACAAGTAAACAGTTGAAATGAATATTTTTAA